TGTGACTGTGACAAGATACAAAATGGTGGTGTCATGGCTAATGAGAATCTCACTTGGCTTCTCACTGCCCCGTTTATGCAGTGATCAAAACAGTAGCATATTAGATTGCATATTGCTTGGATGCCCACATTTTACCCCTACCATAGAAATATTTAATTATTTCCCGCTTAATAAACATATTCCCATTATTCCCTTTTGTCAGGATTGGGGTTTTTTTTTAACCATCCACCTAATTTCATTATCTTCTTCTTGTGTAAATAGTTCATCTATCACTCACACCTTCTATGTGATCTACTTTGGTTCCTGCTTTAGCGTTTGTTTCAGTAAACACACTGACCACTTCCCTCGTCAGGTCCGTATTGGGTTTGGCAAAGAGGAGTTGCTGTCAAGCCTTCCTTTTAAAGCTTCTCAGCTCCTCACGAAGCACTAAATATCAGTTGGATGAGGAGTAGGAAAGTAAGTACACATGCCACACGGTCCAAGGGTCTGCTCATTCACCCATCTTCAAAACTTAATTTTCAGGTTGTTCCATCAGCAGCCATACCTATGCCATTGCAGTAACCCCATCTCCCCTCTCTTATCCCCTACCAGTTCTTCCCAGTACATCCAGTTCTTCCATAACCCCTTTGACCCCAGTAATCCGTAGCTCCCCCTATATCCCCAGCTAGAGGCTGCTCAGCCTGTGTCTGGGGACTCGTTGGTGAAGCCCTCCTCACTCGAACGGCAGCTAAGCTCTCAGTACAGGCTTTTCCAATTTAGGTCTCACTGGACTACCCAGCTACCAATTTTTTGCTTATGAAACAACTATAAAATATCTTTGATATCTGTCAGATATGTTCTAAATTTGTCACTCGGCTTAAAAGTTTGTAGCACAAATGCCTGAATTCTTTGCAGAGCCTGACATAGGCCTTAGGACAGCACGCTAAAGTAGGTGACTGATAACTGGCACACAATATTTGTTCTGCTGATCTTTGTCTTATAAAGGCAAACTTTTAGAAATTGGCCTCTCTTTTTGTTATCAGCTAATAAACATTTTAAACATTTATTTGTTAGTAGTCATGTACTGTCACTGTTGTTATGATGAACAGTAGGCAATGCTATGAATTTTTTGTTCATGACTGCAGAATAATTTGGTGGTTTTAGTTTGACAGCCAACAAAAATGATTACACTAAATATGTTAATTCTGGTGCCTAGGACACTTATTTTGCATTACTGTGGGAAACTGAAACACTACCTCCTTTGCTTTATGAGCTGAATGAAAACTGTTTTTCAGTCAAAATTGCTTTGTAAATTTAACTAAAATTAGCTGTTGATTTAAATTGACCAGCACTATGACTTCTAGCATTTTAGCTGTGTATCTTCTCTCTCCTTTACTTCAGGTAACAATAGCCCAAATGATCTCATCGCGGTGTTACTTCTCATTTAGTGTTTATAAATAATAGCCCCGCTAAATGGGAAGGACAATTAAAAATACAGTTATGGACCTTTTAGTGCTTATTTTTCAAATCCTAGTCTTCAGAGTGCTTACAATTCATATATAACTCTTCATAAAATTATACCTTTATGTAAGAATAAATATGTATAGTAACACGGAGAAGATTTACACCTAAGTTAAAAACATGCAGGCTCTAGAAAGTGAAACCAAGCACATTCATTATCCGTGCTATGTCATTGACAGAGAGGAGAATGTTTGTAGTCATGCAGGTGTTATAACATGGATATGCAGCATTCACAACTATCACATTATAAAATAGAGAGCAATGTGCAGAGACATAAAAGCAAAGATATTCATGGCAGTATTGTGAGATGAAGCCATAAATCCTATTAAACACAGATGTTTTCTTTTGAATTGTACACTGCAAAGAACACATTGAAGTTCAGTGCAATAATTCTTTTAAAATTACCTGTTTAGTTGTTCCTGTTCACTTTTGCTGTGCATTCATTTTAAAGCAAGTGTTTTAAATGACTCCTTACCTTCCAAGACAGAAACATGGCTTAGCACCAGCTCTCTCCCTTAAGGACCTCCACTTTAATACTTCTGCAGTGGTATTTCTGTTGTGGTCCCTCACATAAATGTTAGAGGACAGCACTGGCTTACTTTGTTCCTGTTTTTTTTAAAGAATGGGTTTGATAATTTACTCTAATTTTAGACTTTGACTATTTTTGGCGAGAGTCGATTGGGCTGGATCAATTGAACCTTGTACCAGCAGCTTCATTCAACAGTCTGCGTGAGCACAAATACTCTTCTGGACTTGCATTTTTTTTCTACAAGACCTCATGCATTTTACTCATTTGCAAATAAAATTATGCACAAGTATGAAGTATTTAAAGGTGCATCAAGCATTAACTATTGTTAATTAAAAAAAAAATCTTACCAATTTCTCTTCCTCCCATTCATAGTGCTTTTTAGTCCATTATTCTGCAGAAGTTCAATAATTCCATAAAATTTGTTGGACATTGTGATAGAAAGTCATGCCAACAGGAAGTATTTATTGTATCAAAAAATATCCCAAAATATTTAATCTGCTTTAAAAGGAAACATGCTTTTTCTCTTAGTGAAATCAATGTCTTTGAAGTACAGATTTCAGCAAACTCATCAGTTTAACTGCAGTTCTCCTCTAGAGCATAAGGCCAAGGGCTGTGTTACCAGAATGGCCTCTTGCACGTCGCAGGTCACCAGATCACAACTACATACATTCACTGCATCAGTATTAGGCCAGCCTCAGTGCGGCCAATGCGGGGGACAGGGGTGTCCTCAGGGAACCCGACTTTGTGTCCATAAACTGTGTGACATGTGGCTGATACAAGTCTCTGAAAGCCGCTGATGAGCTTTGTTCATTAAAATCACGTACAGGTTTCTGTTGTTTGGCAGTTTACACTCTGTCACACAAGGCCACGGTTTAACCTGACAACTCACTATCTGTCAGGGCACATTGCACTTTTAACAAGAGAAATGTCCTGCAGAGCACTACCGGCAGTGGCAGGGAGCTGTTCGAGGGAGACATGCCCTTTCCTTTCACCTGTGGCTTCCAGCTGAGCTGTGCTCCAGCCTGGTGAAATGCAGAAAATGACAATACTCTTGCCAAGGTGATTCTTACCTAATATCAGTTGCTTCCATGACAAGCCACCTAGCAGCAAGAGGCAGCAGCCAGGTCTTGAGGAGGTTCTCTGTCCTGCACCAACTGCACCAAATCCACAGAGATTCATAGGAAGGTCAAAATCACAGCAGACATTCACAAAGCCCGGTGATGCAGCAGTTCACAAGGAAGAAAACAAGTCATCCTGATCTCTGCAGGCAAACAGCTGCAGCCATGCTTGACTGTACTTGCAGTGTCTTACACACTGCTATCTGTAGAGCTTATTTTGTAGCTTTATCTCCAGGCAATTCAAGTGTTTGTTTTCTTTACTGTTTGCTTTAAAAAACCTTTATGATGTTTTTAATAAACTTTATGGACAAAGATTGCATTGTCCCTTGATTGCAGAGATGAAATCAGTTTGGTGTCGACTTTCAGCAAAAGTTTTCTGGGCCACTAATCTGGAAATGTTTAATTTGACTAGATGGTCTTTTATGGTCCTTATTAGAGGAACTTTCTGTTCTGCCAGCAGCTCTGTAGGACATAGATGCCTCCTAGTTTGATCCAAATACAAACATTTCTCCTTTTTCCATGTTATACTTTAGCACGTTTGCAGGAGTATCACCTGTACATAGGCTAGGTTTTTCTTGGTCCTTAGACAATTCTAAAATGCTGGCTTACATCTAGTTCAGTTGGCCAGTGGGAGTTCACAGGCTTCTCTCTTTCTAACTTATCAGAGGATTTTGAGTTGTATTTTATAGCTTGCTGTCTACCTTTTTGTCTGATTTGTGTTTTCTACATGTTATTTTAACCAGGATGGCTTCTCAGCATCTATAAACTTTTGTGTGTTTGTGGAATTACGGCTTTTTCAGAGTTCGCTGGGAAAACTTCAAAGATATCCTAGATTTTGTTAGAACTGCCATTAACACTTTAATGTAATTTCATAATTAATTATTGCAACAATCACGTTAAGTAATTACTTTCACTGTGAGTGACTCTGTAATAGTTATGAAGTGACAGTTCTGATGAGACCCATGTTCCTCTGCTGTGGTTTTCCTCTTGCCTGTCCATCACAGGTGACATTCAAGAAATGAATTGGTCATTTGATCTGCTCTGTGACAAAAAATGTTTCACAATGGGTATCAGTGTCCTCTGTATACCCTATCAACAACATTTTTATGTGTGATCTGTGTTAGCCTGGGGAAGGGAAAAACTAATTCCAGTCGAAGACCAATTGATATTTCTGTCTGCCTTACTCCGAAGTTGTATCTGTTTTATAAATGTCATGGGAGTTGCTTACAAGTTGACTAGGAAGGCGACACAGTTACTAAAAGTCTCACAAGTTTTTTATATTTAGTTGTAAAATAGATTTTGAGGTTTGAAGATATAACTCAATAAATACAATCACAGATACTTGTGTATATTGAACACAGGGCTTTGATCCTGACATTACTTCTTAATGTGGTTAAGATTTAGTACCACGGCACGTCCTTACTGTGTTGAACTTCAGTGAATGCTTGAGTATTTATTCAGCTGGGTTCTTATACACAATGTGCAGTATTACCGAATTCTTCAGTAAAAGTTATCTGTGTATTATCTGTGTGACAGAGGCCATTTTCTAGCAATTTCTGATTTTATTCTATTTTATTCTAATTCTACTTATTTCTATTTTTAATCTATTTTTATTCTAAAACTTTAGCTAATATTTTCAAAGATGCTTGGGACAAAACCACAGACATCTATAGAACGAACTCCGTATCTTAGGTCCTCCTATCAACTTCATGTTGAATATTTTGTGTTTAAGTTTTATCCTGGATAATTAACTTTTTATGGCATTAAATGTAAAACTTTGAAATTATGCAGGAGAATATAAAAACATGTTTAAAAAACTAGCAAAAACTCATTTTCCCAGTTGGGTAGATAATAGTTTATTTTCAGTACAATGGGAGATCACATTTGTTTGACAGAACTCTAAACTCATAAAAGCTACACTTGCAGTAATCTTTAAAAGGCTTTACTTCAGCTGCAATTACCGTAACCAGATTTCAAACTTACTTTATGATCTAAAGTCTCTTCAATATTGCAAGGAATGGTAATATATTTCCCATAAACAGTGTTCTAGCTCATCCAGCTTAAGTGGAATCCTGAGGGTAAAGTCACATATTCAGCGTGAAATTTTATATAGACTTGATGAGATGTAGCAGTAAATGGAGCGATGTTTGTATCCTAAAATTAAAGACAAGAAAAATGAAAAGCTTTATAGAACATCAAGATCCTTTGGAAAATGCAGTCAGAGAGTTAAAACTGAGGCACAAATTGGATCATTGACTGGAATTGACCTCAGGTCTGTGCTATATACTGCTCTTGCATCTCTCCCTCAGGGAATTACAAGTATTTAAATCACAAATACAACTAAATACAGGGCGGCATCGCTTGATGCCTCCCACTAGATGTCACTGTAAGGTCTGCATTGGAAGGCTTCTAAGGTGCCACACGCACCTTACACCTTCACTTCCACTCATCTATGTGGAATTCATGCCAGAATTAGGGGAACACTCTTGAATATGAAAGAGTAAAGATTAATTTTAACCACTTGCAGGGTCACAGCCAGTAGGAATACATACCATCCCACAGTACGGCCCAGCTGAGGGATAGCTGGTATCTGGCCCGTTGTAAAGGATCAGGTAGTTGCTACTGCAGTCCCCTGGGTCATCGATGCTGATGAAATCAAAGTTCACTGTGACAATTCGTCCCTTGGGCACTGTAATGGCCCACTCGCAGTCAGTGTTGTTCTGGTAAGTTGCTGGGTAGCTGGGACTAGCAAATGAGCCAGCGCTGCTGTATAATGTTCCTCCACATCCTGGAAACAGATGCTGTTAATTAGCTTAGAAGGCTTAGTTTCACAAAATACTACATCATGTAGTACATTGGTACGGTATTAGTACTAGCACTGAAAAACAGAGAGATGCTGGGAGCTGGAACAATGAACGTGGATAAGAGCATTATCCCAATAAGAGGCAAACCTGAGGCCTTGCCTTCAGCACCCTGAGAAAAATATGCAATGGGCATTAAACCATCACTGGATATTAAAAATCAAACCCCCAAAACCTCTTTGAAACAGGAAACAAAGTTTTAAGTCTGTGCCTTGGTCAGTTCAGTCTCCAACTACTCAACTAGAGACAAATTCTCTTTGGCTGTTCTTTGGAATGAAAAGTAGTGGATCCTTGTCTGATAGAAAAACTCAGAGAAAATAGTCTTGGGAAGGTGTTAAGTGCTGATGAGGTAGGGCCCAAACTGAGCAGTCTGAATTCCACATTTCTGTATTCCTCTCTGTGTACAATTGCTGAGTGGAATTACTTTGTAATTACAGCCTTACCACTTGATGATGAAGTCCAAATAATTTCATATCCATCATGAGTCCCTGAAAAATCACTCTTGAAACGAAGGTAGACAACATGATTTCTGGGGAAGATGGGACTGGGCACGGTGTTTCCACAGAACCTGCCAAGTAGTGGTGATTGCACATCGCTCCCATTTCTGACCTTCAAGGGACACAAAAAAACCATTGTCAACATTAAATCCCTGTGCCAGTTATATACCAGTACAATTATGCAGTGATACCAGCACAACATGTAGTGACTTGCATGCGTGCCATAATTGTCATTTTAATACTGTTATTTTTCCAACTACATATTCTCGTATTGAAGGAAAGAGAGACCATTAACCTGTCTGAATTTTGCAAGTAGTTGCACAGGAGAAGTATTATCAGAAACAGGTAGCTAAATTTTATGGTGTGGTACATCTCCTGACTGAAAAAAATTACTTGACTAGTAGCTAAGATGTGCTTTTGCAATTCAAGCCCATATTTTACTTTTCATAAGAAATGTTAATATTCCAGATGAAAAGATTAATTCTTTACCCCGCAGACCACTGTTTTTCCTGTCACATTAAGACACAGGTCATATTACATAGCTCAGATTTAATCTGGGTTGGGATTTTTTTTCTGAGCTCCAATAATGCTTGTGCTCAGATCCATTTCTTGAGACAGTAAAGAGGATATGAAAGGAGAACTAAATAATGATTCTGCCACAGACGTCTGATTTTTGTCATCTGATCAGTGAATAGGGAAACTTTCAACAAGCATGAAAGTACAATGAGGGTTGTATAGGAGAATATGCTTTTTATTGACAAAAAATACCTTTGCAAGTATCCTACACTTATTACTAGACCTCCTTATTTTTAAAGAAAACATGTTTTTTTTAGAAAAAAAATATTTTTAAGAAAAGCAGATGGAATCTACTGCTGGGAAGAAAGCACTGAGATTTATGGCTTTCTGTTCATGCACAGTTGTTAATATTGGATGAGAACTATCCTGGCTTGCTCTGTTAATTGGGTAACATCAACAAGAGCTGGGTAAAGATGAGTTAGCTGATACTGAAAGTATTTCTTCATTGGTTTTAGATTTATTATAGTATGTATTGTTTAACCACTTACTATAATATCTAAGTACCTTTCACCATAAAATGGTAGCAATAAATTAGTCCCTAATGTCAGTTCAGCTCAGATTTTATCCAAGCTTATCAGTAGCCTTTGAACTCCGCAGATTTTGACGCAGGCCCACAAAGTATGTATACTTTCTTGATACCTCTAGGAAGTCATGTGAACACTGGATGCTGTCCTCCAAACTGAAAGCATGAAAAAAGAGAGAAATTGTGTGATTCAGCGGAGCTCGGAGAATGATTGAACAGTCCACATTATTGGGGTGACGTCCAGGCCAGCCAGGGCTCTTCAGGTAACCAAATGGCTGGTTGTACTCTCTGCTGCAACCTTGAGACAGAAAACCAGAAACATGTAAGCATTTCAGATCTCTGTATTGCTTTTCATTGTATGGAATCAACAAAAAGAATGGTAGATTTTAGACATTTCTTACCTGTAGCTTGATATGTAAATCTGACTCCATTATTAATCATATATTCATCTGATTTGAAAGTCACGACGGCAGTCCGATCATAAGAATAAAATTCAGGGACTGGAAAAGTTTCAGTGCCACAGAATCTATGGACTGAGCTTTGGCTGTGCTGGAATTCAATACATGTCACAAGTTATTTCTGCTTAATGATATAATTCGGTTTTGTAATTACTGTTTGAGGTCAATGGATTTCTCAGCACTTTCTATACTGGTTGCATTTTAAAGTTTTCATGAGACTCATTTAATAATGCCTCAACAATTTATGTTCAATTATTATGAGAAACAACTCAAATGTAACAGGTGTTTTCATGTCAAAATAATCAATGAAAGAAGGTTTAGCATAATATAATATAAGAGACACAAACACGTTTGGTTTGGGGTTTTTTTGGTGCTTTTTATAAACACTATTGTTGGCATGAATACTCATTTTTATTATGGTTCTTGGATGGGAAGAAGTACAATTAGTTAATGAAAACTTGCTGTTGGGCAGTATTTTCTGGGTGTTATGTTTGACAGCTTGTGTGACACTTACCAGGTCAAATTCAATGTGTGTATAGTGTGCTTCCATGAGGGCCGTGTACCAGTTGTGTACCAAAGCTTAAGTGGGCACAGTGCATAATACTTTGGATGTGTCCCTCACCCAGAATCATCAGCTAATATATTACCAAATGGTGGGTTTATCCTCTCTTTACAAAGAGTGAAGGAAGCTGAATGCGCATGGGGAATGGTATTCACTGTAGATTTCTTACTGTTGGTGAATCCTGGAGCTCGAGGTAGTTCTGAGAGCAGTCCTGGCTGGAATGGAGGTGGAAGGCCTCTACCACCACCCTGACTTGCTGTTGCGGAGGGGCATCAATGACCCAGGCACAGAGAGTAAATGGTGGATATTCATTTGGAAAGTTAGGAGATGTTGCAGTCAGGGGTGTAGAAGTTGCATTATATATTCCTCCACACAGTCCTGTGTAAAACAGTAATAAATGCATCATGGCATGAAAACCTCTTCAACTGGAGGAGAATGCTTATTGAGGAAAGCTACTCTGTACAATATACTTTTGTATTTACCTGTGAGTGTCTAGAAAAAAATAAGTAAAACACATGCTAATGCTGTGTCAATGTATGTTATAAAACTCAAATAAATGCTTGTTTCCTATAATATCAGTCAACAGTCTGTAAGTGTTCTGAGTTTGCAGTCCTGACTGACAGCCACCGCACAACCATGCAGAACTGGAGAGGATTGCACTAGGGTTTAGCAGTGCTGCTTTTAGCTTGCTTATAGGCGTTGTGCTAAGGACTGTCTTTGCCCCTTCCTGAGCCCTATATCTGGAATAATTTTTGATTAGTTATTATTTAAATATGTATTTCCACAAGAGTCACAACAATATATACGCATGCATATGTATATATACTTACGATCCACTGTGGTATAGGTAGCATTGAAACCCTCCCTTTGCACAGAATTATCTGTGACAAATTCCACAGTCAAGGAATTACGGGTAGAAAGAAAAGGAGCTGGCACTGTAGATCCACAGAATGAGCCAACTAAATTGGCATTTTCATTAGCTCCATCATAAAGCTGAAAGAAGAGAAGTATATAAGCCACTAATAGTTTAGGCACAACAAAAAAATAAATAGAAATTAAATTCTCTGACCCCTCCTGACATTACAGTTTATTTTACCTGAAAATGCAGTAGGTGCTCTTGTGTTTTAAAAGGATGTTCTTGATGACTGTAATTATTCACTGCCATATTAACTAATTCTGCTGGAAAGCATAAATCTCATTAAGGAACATTCTGGTCCCATCTCAGCAAATCTATGAAAATTTTATTCTATTTTAATTTGGCACTTGGATCTCTTTTTTGTATGTAATCTCAAAGTGTTTTTCAATGAGAAAGGTTGATTTTTTTCACTGAAATGTAGAACTGATTCCTAGCTTCACTGAGTAACTCTAATGCTCAACAGGATCTATAATACTCCTTGGTAGATCTTGTTTAGCAGCATTCTGCTATCCTCTGCTTTGTATGCTCATCTCCAAGAAAAAAACCTTTCACAAGTAAGCATTGAGCATCAAGACTTATTTATCCAAAATTTTATTTAAAGTCCTTTGAAGCAATTGTGTATGATAATGACTCTGCAAGTTTACTTTCAAAGTGCTTGAGATTTGTTCTGTTTTTATTCTGTGAAATAAACCGTCATTTATGTAGGCAGTCTTAAGATCAGAATTTTGTCCCCATGTTGAAACTCTTACTGGTTTCCAAAAAGACAATATGGCATCTGGAGTAGTAATCTAACCTAATGAAATAAATTGAATTATATTAAGCAATCTAATTTCTTCATAAGACCATTTTCTACTAATTAAGTTTTAGCCTAATGGAGAGGATAATGCATTGTATCTCCCTGATATTTTCTTGTCAAAATACACATCTATCTTACTTTGACATAATCATATCGGCAAGTCTGAGCAGACTGTGCTTCAAGCACCAATGAAGTGAAGGTGAGGTTGATCACTTTGTTCACTGGTGCTATTATGATCCATACACAGTCCAGATTTTTCTCGTATCTTCCGGTCACATTGGAGATGGGAGAGCCAAAGCTATATGCTGAATTTGTCAAGTAACCACCACAGCCATTCTGAGGTCCTGTGGAAGAAGCAGAAGCTTTTTAAAAGCAATTCCTGGCATTTATTTAATCTTCAACTCTTTAATGTCAAACCAGCAGCTTTTTTCTGTGCTACAGAATTTTACTGTTCTGTCTCACAAGGCCTATTGGAGTGATTACAAGGCTTTCAACAGAAACAGTGTTAGACAGATAGGAAGCACAGTTACATTTGGTAGAGTGAATTGACAAAGGCTTGTATCTTCTGTTGAATATAAAATCATTATACACTTTGAAAATGTAGCCATAGATTTTTTTTTAAAGGACTGTAAGAAAACAGAGGACAGAAATTAAATAGGAGAATGGTGGTTAGAAGGCCTTTCAGTGTAAATCTTACCTGCTATTAAGAGTGCTTGGACAGTAGGGGGCACTGGGTTGTTGACTTTGAAAATCTCGTTAAAAATTATGTTGCTTGTTTTGGCAATACGACCTTGTTCTGTGGGACTGAATTTGGCAGCCTGATGCTGGGACCCAGATCCATGCTCAGGAATCCAGCCAAAAGGGGCTTACTGCTGGAAGCGTTTTGCGTGATGGGAACTTACAACCTTACAAACTTTTTTTTTTGATGGGATGATTTTCAGAGGTTGGTCTGACCAGTTTATAGAATCATATCACAATATACTTCCTTCTCCAGGCTCTGTGGGGTTTCCTGGACACTTAACTCAGGAATTCAAATAAAGCATGGTTCATACTCTTGCTTTTGAATCTGAAAAAGAGTTTTTGTAAACTGCACAGAGCAGAGCAGTAACTGCAAGCAGCCTGTCGTGTCCCACAGCAAATCCTTTTAGGAGAATTAGATATTAAACAAAACTACAGCTGTGGCTAAGCCATGTGAACGAAGTTTCAGTATTTCATCTGTGTCTGTAAAATATGCCTGTCTGGCTGACGTACAGAGACTTAACCTTGACACACTGATACATTTCCAGTCATACAAAACTGCAGCCTACTGGAGCTACACTATTATGAAAGATCACTCTGGTGAAAAATCAGCATCCAAGAATCAGGATTGCGTCAGTAACCTGGGGTTGGTGACAGCCCCGTCTTGCAAGGCTGTAGTGGTTAAACCAGAGTGACTAAGACTAAATGTCATCCTGCTCTACTAACCAAAGCTGGAAAAACCCCACCCAAAAAGAAGTTTGCTTAAAACCAAAATCTTAACACAAGATTTAAGCTTTTGCTGTAGCTAAAAATTAACAGAAGGAACTTATTACAAAGTAAAAAAGTCAGGAATTAATAGACCCTAGTCCGGTTTTGTGGGCTGCTAATGAAGTCAGAAGCTTGGAAAAGTGTTAGCATTCATTCAGTGCCACTGCAGAAGCCGAGAACAACAGCGAGGAAAATGCAAGCAATAAATCACGTTCTTACAAATAGTCTAGGAAGGAGGAAAATGTCAGACAGGAGGGTGCCTGTCCCCCAAGAGGGCAGTTGTGCTGTATTTTTCTCTGGGTTCATCCTTCTGCATAATTTATTCAGTCCTCCTGAAACAATCTTGTTGGAGCAGTTTCCTGCTCAGCACTTTGGATGCCATCCTCTAAACATAACATTAAGCATATCATTGTTAGGTATAGATCATAGTCCAACCATCCAGCCCTGCAGTATTGAGTCTGGAGCGATGTGTGGGTCAGACACCTTACAAAGCTCCTCTTCACCCTTTTTGGGGTTACAGTTGCAGAGATGCCAGTCAGGCCATTGCAACAGGAATCGGGGAATTGCCACAGAGCCAGGCAACAGGGAAACTCCCAGCTGTTGGATTGTCCTTTTTTTGGATAGAAAATGTCTGGACCTTTGCTACACTTCTCTGCTAGCTGTGCAGCTGTAAAGACAGCTCAGATGACAAAAAATACAGATGTGGGTAACCTGTGCGTGTATAGCACATAAAATGAATCTGACAGAGAGAGAAACATGCCAGATCCTCATAATCAGAAAATTAACTCTAGCTGGTATAGGCAGTAATGGCATCTAAGGGGAGATAACTAGAAGTATGATTTACAGTTAATAAAGATGAGTTTTCATCATTAGCTTTCACAATGCTTAGTCTGCTCAGCTGGGGTTGAGTCAAATGCTTACGGGACAGTACGTTATAAATAACGGCTATACTGGAAGCCAACCACATATCAAGTAGCTCTGCATCAAGGCAAAGCAACACTTGTTGAAAAATCTATCCATCCTGGTGTTTTTTCCAGTAGTGATTAATGTTACATCTGATTGCAGCCACTAAAAGTTACAGAATAGTGAAGCTGTGTAGATTGAGGGATCACCCACAAGTAAATGAAGAACCAACAGCTTAGCAGGAGGGAGCTCACCCTACGAGAAACACTACTGCACTGCATTTTAGCCAGAACACAACTCATAGTTTTAAAAATCAGCGCCACTTCTGAAGAGAAGGCCAAATAGTAGCCATCCAGCCTGGTGATGATCATTGATGGAACGATATTCATTGCTGACTAACACTGCCAGAAATATAGGAGCTAAAATTTAGGGAAAACCTGGGACTGAGAAGTCTGATAATTTGTAGAATAGACTCTTAGATATTAAATGCTAAACTTGATAAAAATAATGAGAAATATACCTTACAGAACAATTTGTGTATGGACAGATGGACTGACTACAAGGCTGACTGTGTTTTTTCAGTCTCTGGCTTCTTATTTAAAATAAAAATCATAAGGTCAGAATCAGAATGCAATCTTGTCCTCCTGATAAACAGCTTGCCAGAGAACACAAATTATCAGAATAACTAGGGCACACACTGTCATCACTAATTGCTTTTTGTCAGGAAGCATTAACGAAACTAAAAGGCTGAAGGACCATTCAGAAAAGAAAGAATTGAAGGTACCCTATGGCAAATAAAAATAATTTCAGCAGAGAGAAAACACATGCCTCTCTGTTAAGTGTTACATCCTCTAGATATTGAATGAAGATGAATCTTTGGAGCTGTCTGCCTTTGAAGTACAGCCATGGGTAAGGTTCTTCTGTACAGGTACGGATGCAATGAAAGGGAGCCTACTGAATAGGTTTAAATCTGTAGAAACAACTGAACCAAAGGCATTTCAAAACACAACAAACTAATTTTGCTGCACTTCCTCTCTCACTGAATAAGCACCACAAATGTCTACCAGAAGGCAGCAAAGTTCAAAAAGCTGTTCTAGTTCTACCTGAACAGTAATAAAAATCCTCTCTCAGATTTCTGAGTCACATTTGGTCTCACCTCGAAACATCCCTGGGAACTCTAGGCTTCTCTCTGATCTGAACTAAAAATCAGAATAAGCAAAGATTAACTCTGCCAAGACTAATGCTTCTTTCCCAACAGGTCTTATTTCCAGTGCAGAGGAATGTCTGGACTAATTGTGGCTGTAATAATTAGCCCATAGCTTGTTTGGATCATGGCTCAGAAGGATACAGGGCTGAAGAAAGGAATCGTATTGTTGTACTTCATCTTGTGGCTGATACTTAAGGTTGGTACCTCCAAACCTCCGCAAGCTGAGCTGAGCTGCTCCCGCGTTTGGCAGTCACTGTACAGACAGCATGACTTCACGTGCAAGCCGTGGCCATGGTGCCTGCAACATTTCGGGAGGAGACTTCTGAAAGCACAGAGCTCTCTTTAGTCCTCAGCCTCGCTTTTACACAGAAAGGGTTTTAGACTGGTTTGATGGCCTGGCAGTGGTTCCAGCAGTGATGTTTAGTACTGCAAAGCCCTAGTCTCCTGCTTTAGCAGGATTTCACAAATGCAGTCAGACAAAGTTCATATTCTGAAGTTTTTAGACTATTGGCTGATCCCAAATACAACAGTTCAGACATGCTCTGTGCCAAGCCTGCCCTAGTTCTGCAAAACTGTAATGTAGGTACCATCCTATCCATCTCCGCCATGCTTGTCTGGGAGAGCAGCAGCAGACAGATAGTCTGACCTCATGCTAATACTTTTTAATACTTGCTGACGTCACTCATTCTCAGGCCTTTGCAGATCTTTCTCATGATGCACATCAGAAATATGTCTTTGTTTGTATGCACCGGAGTACAGATTTTCAGCTGAAGAAGTCATTGACTTCAGTCAAGCTAAGCCAAGTCTTGCCAGCAGAGAGTTAACCCGCAGCTGTGTGAAGCACTTTTAATCTGAAAGTCCCATTGGCTTTGAAACATTTAGTTACTACAAAATTATATTTAATGACTCTGTCTGAGAATAATTTTTCACCTCATTTTTTCAGATCAGTCAGACATGTCTTCTTTAAATATCTACCTCTTTTCTTATCTGTCCAGTTTGAGTAGACAAGCCACTTCTATTTATTTTGCTTTGAGAGAAGAAATGTTACAGACATTAAATAACTGACTTTTCTAAGAGGCATTTGTAGACTATTTCCTAGCTCAACAGTTGTATTATTTTCAGAGATATTGAAGAGATGCATTTCAACACTGCAAGTGCTCTCTAAATTTAGTCAGATTTCAAGCTGATGCATATTTTTATATTTGAGCCCCAAAATCCATTTAGCAACAGTCCAGGAATTGTGAATTAAAAACATATATTCTGAGCTTGTTATGGATGTTCTTATTTTCAGAGACTATAATAAGATCAAGAAAATATATTATTAACCTCAATTTATTCATCAGTTTAATAGATTTAAGCTAATTATAGTTAAGCCATGACAATGTAGTGAATCTGAAATGTGTATAATTAATGTGTTATATATTTGGTAAAAAATTGTGTGAACCAAAAGGCCCAAGAAACTTCTGCAAAGACGGCTGGTGAGTTTCAGGCAATTGCTTCTCAGCCAGACCTTCTGCAGCACAGGGTTCTAAGTCCAGGTTGGATATCTTGAGATATACCCCTGCAAACTGGTCCTAATGGGCTGTGAAATCCTTGCCAGGCACTGCTGCTTTTACAAAGGCAAGAGAAGATGCAACAGCATTCACATGCCACAGTCAAGGACACATTCTTGTAAGATTATTTTGTTGGAAGGAGAAAAGTTTGCAGGAAACCGGAGATTCAGCTGTGCTGAGTCCTTTCCCACTGAACTGTACAGGTGCCTGGTGCCACCTACAGCAGGGGCTAATGTTAGTGACATAGGTCAGTGCAAGGAGTTACTGCTGGTGGTGTAAGAATTTAGAAATTACTCACAAAAGAACACCTAACCCTGATCTATGCAATCAAATAACCAAACTAACATTTTGCACCTTATATTGCCCATTCAGAACTGTTTGGGTTTTTTTATTTTAGCAATTCTGAACAACAAAAAAAACCCCTCTGCAGCAACTGCACATGCTGAGCACTGCTGAAAATCTGCCCCTAGAAATTGAATATGGAGTGTGCCAAGCTTTCAGTTTGCAGGGCAGGACTGAACTTAGAACTACATTAAGCTAATTTTTTGTTTATAAAATAAAATAGTATAAAAATGCTGTGAAAGTTCTACTGGATTAATTTTTTTAAAGTACGCTTTAATTTCATTAGGGGAGAGTATAACACTAAACCTAGTAGTGATATAATACAATTCCAAACAGGAAACAAGTAATTCAATACACAGCTAATAGAATAAAGGAAGACAGATACCTCCAGGTGATTTATCAGGTAAGTTACAGATCATTTTGTCAGGAAGAAAAGCATAGTGATTATAATCTATTTCTATGATATACATACTAGATTATTGATGTAAATTATCTATTAATGCATTTTTCTGGTATATGAGAAGAGATTCTTTTTTCCAGCTATTTTACTTCTAAACTCTACTCGCTTGTGATCTTTTGTTTCTGTGTAAAATGATTAATACTCATTCAACAGAAATGCTTATTTAAATAAAAGGCTGGAGGGATCCTTGAGGGAAAAGCTGGGCAAATTGAGGACAATACAGAGGACAGGGTGTTTAAAGGACTTCACAGTCCAACAGTCTAATGGTTGCCAAAGGTTTGGGAGGCATTTCTCCTGCCTTAGAGCCTACACCACTGATTTTCTCATTGTTGCCACTCTATTCTTCTTGCCTATCTATATCCATCTAGGTTTCCTTGTCCTGTGTTTAAATCATGATCTCTTTGTGACAGCAAATTGTCACTTTATTCTGCCTGTGCAGTGCATAGCGCAGTGGAATCACATCCCATGAGCTCGTAAACCCCAAGGTAATGCAAACAAGGGACAAGCTTGGTATTAATACAGTACACCGTACTGCTCTTTCACAAAGTATAAATGTGAATTTCTCCTGCATGCTGACAAGGAGTAATATAAAAAGGGGGGGGGAAAGAGCTGGCTACAGCTTGAAGTTAAGCATGAGTTAGGGCTGTAGAGCAAAAGTTGGCAGTCTTCCTGCCCTCCTCCATCCCACCTTCCCCACTGTCCCAACTCCATTTCATGTTTTGTCTATATTGTATGAAGAAAGCTCAGGAAGAGCCTTCTGGCCCAAGCCACTTATCTAATCCACCATCTAACCACTTTGCTTCTTGTAAATTCATGTGGCTTCCTCAGAGAGCCCCCATGAGCAGATCTGCCTTTCAGAAAACCCCAAGACCCTTCCCTGATGGTTTATAATGTGACATATTTTTCATTACTGACACAACGTGGCTATGTACACAAGTGCAGAAAGCTGCCAAGTGAAAATGATGTGCTGTTAATAAGGTCACAGCTGCATCTCCCAACAGGTGTTGCTGACTCCTTAAAAATAAGAAAAAACCTAACACTTCTATGTCTCAGGCTTTGTATCATAGGCCTCGGAGGTATCACAAATTGGGGTGAGAGGGTCACCCCACTGCTGGATGGAATAGGCATAAGCTCTATTTGTCACCAAAGCACAAAGTCCCTGCTGTCACAGCAGGGCTGGCAGGGGTATGTGTAGTCTCCGTCCCTACAGCCAGGGTCAGCTGAAGAGCTCCGTTCTCCCCTCAGAGCTGCAGAGCTAATCAGGAGATCTTTGGCTGAGTCACAAGCTCAGCACACGCAGTTCTCTTCCTCTGGGGAGAGATCTTAGCTTTCCTTCCTTCGCAGAGACATCTCATGTAACTGAATGCCCTAAGGTGGTATTGATTTATCTCTTCTCATCCTTTTATTGATCTCCTAGAGGAGCACACACTCGCTGTGGAAAGGAGGTGTAATTCTCATTTTACAGACTGGAAACAAAGGTAGAAAAAAGGTTAGTGCTAACTAAGGTGAGTCTTTCTTTCCACAAATGAAACACTTGGAGCAGGCTGGGCTCCTCCAGTCTGCCCAGTTCACCAGCTAAGCCTGAAAGCATGTCTAGTGATTCCAAAAATAAGGCCAGTAAGTGTCCAAACTTAGCAGCAGAGATATTGCAATTATAAACCCTCCAAACTGCACCGACAAGGGCTGCATGTTCCCCTGCCTCAAAAGCACCATATCACAGCGTTGTTTGTGACAAAAAACGCTGCTTGTGAAATGTGCACTTAACATGACATTGCACAGCATAGCACGGTGAAGGAGAAGACATTTGACAAAAAAGGTGAGATATTGCTGCACTGTGAGATTAATACTATTTCATACTTTCTGCTAGTCTCCCTTTTCTGACTGGTGGAGGGTACCTTAAATATTCTGGTGGGTACAGGATCAGTGATGTAAACAAATTGTTTTAATTAGGGCATGTTCTTCCACAGAAATTTCAGGGTTTAACCCTTTGAATGCCTGGTTACTGTCAGTCTTGGTAGGCTTCTGTGAGTTTCCTACTTCATCTTCTCTCTTCCTTCCCACCACAACAGTTATCAGATAGACTCCTTACTAATGAAATTCACAAGAGAGAAAGAATAGATAACCCTGGATTTTGGCAGGACCCCTAAGAGAAGCTTGATCAGGAAAGAAATTGGATGAGCTTGTGAGGAAAGGAAATAGTTTTGTTTGCTACAAATGAGTGTACTGTTTCTGCTCGTTCCCTTCCAATACATAATCAGGGTCTCTTACAACATTAAACAGAGAGTAATAATTACATTATCCAGTTGTGCTTCCCTAGGGTAACTACAGAATAATGCACTCATTGTCATCCAACAGAGAATGAGGCTTCTTGTTTCTCTACAGATACCTTATCCAAGAGATTTATCATTATTAATTGTCATCTGATTGCATTTGTACTCTTACAAAACCACATGGGTTTTATCTTTTGACAGACATGAGGGAACTTCTTTAAAGCTCTATTTAGAATAATGGGCTTTTAGATCTTCATGGTTTTATTCTCTTTCATTTGAAGCAGAATCTCAGACCTCATAGTACAAAGATGTGTCACAGATTTTCCTGGCTCTGTTTTTTAGACAAGTCAAACTGGAAACATTTATAGGACTGTGACTCATGTTTTCCTTTTATAATAGTTTTCTACTTTTTGGGCATTCTACACTAGCATGGGGCTGTCAGGATCCTTCCTAGCAGCTGTGTGGTTTAGTCCCTGTGGCTTGTTTCCCACAGTGGAGGAAGAAGACCTACCATTAAGCATCTCACCACCATGGGCTCTTTGTCACACAACCCACATCTCCACATGGCCATCTTTGCCAACTTGCAACTTCATTCCTCCTGAATAACTCCTGCAACATCACATCCTCCCTTTCCTTGGGAGCCCACAGGAATGTCCCTCCAAAATTTCACCTAATGGATGTCAAAGTTTATTCATAAAAGGCTTCTCCTCACTCTAGGAAATAATCAGGCTTGGTATTGACTCGAAGAGCTTGGCTTGTGTTCTGTTGTGTGTCTAAGCAGAATCTCTGGCAAGTTGCACAGATAAATCTAAAGTCAGTGGCTAAAAAAATTGACTATGTGCCAATAAGAAGAGCAAGAGTCTGGGGACTTCCTGATGATATCACCCTGCAAACATAAACCCAGGCTGAGGGGCGTCTCTGACAACCGACACCTAATGGTTTAAAGACAGCAACACATGAAGCAACATTGTGTTACTTGAAATAACCCCCCACAAGAGTGGCCTTAAAAGATTCTTATAGCAATTGCTTAGAGTGAAGAAAAGAAAGAGTTAATAATACCACTGACTATAAGGTTCTGTGAGAATATTTTTCTTGGCAAAGCCTGTAGAACCAGTTATTTTCCTTATCTGTAAATACTTTCTCAGACTATATCAAATGAGAAAGCCGCTGGCTAGAAGTTGAGAGGGGACTGAATGACTCAGCAGAAGACTATGTTTGTTCTGCCACAAAGGCCTTTCATTCTGATCTGTCTGAGTGCCAGCTTTGAAACCGGACAGTTACTTCTTTCTAGATCACAAAAACATTGAGTTAATTACACAGGAAACTAGTAGCAATGACATGAAATCAACTTACATGTAATAACCATCTGTTGCTTGTCATCCCTAAACAACTCAGATGTTGTAAGAAAGTAAAAAATTCCTTCTACACCTTGATCTTAAAAATAGACTACTGGACTTAAACCTTTTTTTAAGGCAAAAATCAAGCTTTGCCCTTGACTATTGTGTCCATCCAAATGTTTAACATCCAGTGACTTCTTACTATGACCCTAATTTATGTTATGGCTAGTTAGCCAGATTGATCCCCAAAATCAGCAGAGATTGGCACAACAGTTCCTGAGGGGAAGCCCCAGTCTTAACACTTTCATTTTTAAAAAGGTGTGAGGTGGACTGCAAGGAAATGGAAATTGAGGACAGATGAAAGGAGGCATCTTTAGCTCATTGCCAACCTTTGACTACAGAGGAGTGAAAGTTCTCAGGTACTGCCCCATTTCCTCCAAAAGAAAGGCTTTTGGGTGCTCCTAAGCCTTCAGTCACCCAAGAACTCTCTGTGCCTTCAGAGAGGCAGGAAACAGGTAGCAAAAAATAAAGCAATCAGTTCAGAACCAGGGCTTGATGCAGGGATCCCATAAGCCTAGTGTTTAGCTTAGTTCATTCAATTTCTGCAAAATCAGAAACATTCTTCTGCTTCCAGCACCCCTAGGGAGTGAGACCATAATGGTTCCTCTACTTACCAGCAGATTCTTGGGGGTTGAGTCTGATAATACTCTTACCTAGGGTCTCCTTGAAAGATGCTTTCCATCCCCTGTCTGCTCCAAAGAAGTCAGTCTTAAACACCAGGAACAAGTTATTACTGGAGCTCTTAATATTCGGAGGCACTTCTGAGCCACAGAATTTGCCGAGGAGAGGAGCATGAGTGTCTGAGCCATCATATACAGCCACATAATCTTTGTAGCAAGAGGGAGATACTTCAAGCTGGAAACTGTTGAATCTGTAAAATACACATGGAGCTTTAGATATGACGTTTTCATTTCTATTCCTATCCATTTAATTTCTATTCTATTATGTGTGTTTTTAGTGCGTGAGGAAAGGTCCAAGTGATAGCAATAGTCAAAGCCATACACAGATAACACAAAACACTTAGTTTCAGGAACAAGCAAACAAAACTATTAACTACATGGCAAAACACTCCAGCCAACCAGACTCAAAGAAATAGTGACCCTCAGCCGCTGGGCCTCTTGCAAGGCAAGCTGTCAGCATACCTTGGCTTTCTGTGAAGCAGCAGATCGCAGAATCACAGAATATTAGGAGTTG